CTTCGTTCGGAGAAAGTGTTCAGCTGGATCTGACGTGCTGTTGTCGTGAGGTAAATTTTGGGTGTAGTTTCGGATGGCCGCGGTGATCATGGTTTCCACCTCGTCCCGGGTATACGTACGCTCATTGGGAGCCTGAGCGGGGGTTGCGGCTGGCCTTCTTGAAGCAGCTTCGCCATCCTGGAACTCAAAAGAGGGGCTGCTTGGGGTGAAAGGGATCCGACCCTCCTTTTCAGGTGTAAGGAAGCTACACCCCGACTTATCTTTCTGAACGGACGATGGATCAGCCGGTGTTCTGCGAGCTACTGCATCTAAATCCTTCTGCAAATTCCGGGCAGTGATATCTCCTTCTTCCATTGTTCTCTACGTTGATAGCTCAGATCTGGACTTCCGGGGGGTAGATCTGATATTTTCCCGGAAGTTATCCCCAAGATTTTTAGATCTTTCCCACAGACGGCGCCAGTTGATTTAGTCCGTAGGTCTTCGTCTTCCTCAAGCCAGCTCCGTCCGTACTCCGGTGGACAGACCTGCAACGCCGGGAGGGGTTCCCGGCGGGAAAGCTCCGACGATCAAGTCAGTGATCGGAATAAAGGGAAAAACGTGTATGTAAAGTAATAGTAATCAGTGTATATCTTTCTTGTGTGTGTGTGTGTTGATTCTCCTATTTATAGATGAGGAAAGCTTGGCCTTCAAGGCTTTCCTTTTTTAGGGTTTCTCTTTTCCCCCAAGTCATGTATCTTGGGCCTGTATTGTCCTGGGCTCGCCTTACCCCGTTTCGGTACTGGGCTGGCGAGTTAAGGTACTCCCACGTAGTTCCGAGGTTCGCGCCATACGACGACTTCGCTCATAGTACCGAGCTAAGTCATCATGGGTTTTTCATTATGGGCCTATCATATTGGGCTTACCCTAATGGGCTTATGCTTATTTGTTACTTGTCAAACTAGCCCATATCAGGGTTGTTTTGCTAATAGTTTATAACACAAGAAGTTTAGGCTAGCTTATGTTACGTACCCCTGGAAAATGCTTCGATGCTTCCACTACTAGCACTGCTCTGCCCCGTGAATCGAGATAATTGTGCAGATAAGCTTTTCCCGTTTCCGCTGCACGTTTGACCGACTCTTCGGACAATTTGGACACACCGAACTCCTTTCGCCATCTCTGTTAAGGTAAAGATAAACTCAACGACACCATATATTTTCAAAAGCTACGGTTTTTAATGTTAGTCAAAGAAAAACGAAGGGAAAAGAAAGAAAAAAGATTCGATTTTTAACATCATTCAAAGGAAAGCGAAAGAAAGGAAACGTGAAAATAGGGTGCGAGTAATAATTAGAGACTAATATGAAAATTATAGTTACAATGGCTTTAGTCAACTTGGAGACGGCATCTTCGACGGAATATTTTCGATCCTTGAGAAACCAAAGAATCATTTGATCGTCATCTCTCCCATATTTTCCCAACGGCAGACTGTTTTGCTCTTTCTCGAGCTTTTCTTTTACTTCTGCCACAAGCTGCAACATGAAACATATGATCAACCGTATTAAAATTTCATCGAACCAAAATCGATACTACACGAAGAGTTTCGCTATTTCTCCTTCAACGGAAAAAAAAAAACCATGTATATTTCGATTCATCCCGCTAACTTATAGCTACAATGGAGGTTAAATAATTGAATTCTTCGAATTTTCAAGAAATGCAACTTAAACAAAGAATCAAATAAACCAGGACAAATTCATTTCAAATTTTAATAACCAAACAAGAACAAGAAATCGAGCAAAACCGTATATACGAGGGTGTGAAAGTGTGTACTCTGTGTGTATTTCGAGGAGCAACGGAACAACTGCGAATTCCGAGCTTGAAAACCTTGGTGGGTTTCTTGTAATGAGTAGAAACTGCCTTGAAATGTTGAGCCAAAGGAGGACTAAGCATCATTACACAGTGAGACATTTCATCAAACAGTTTGCGATCACTTGATTTTTCTCACTGATATCAAAGCTACCGCATTTTGTAGCTATAACAGAATTGCGGGTGCATGTGTAGGAGTTGGGTTTGTACCGAACTCTTAACGATAACAAAATTTATTACCGCCCTCCTATTAAATCGATATAAGATATGAGTATGTTTTAAAAGTACAAAGTATAGTATTTAAGCTATAAGATTCATAATATTCCACACTAGAGAGATGAAACCGCGCACGAGTAGGGGTGGAAATCGGACGGAATTGATCAGAATGCAAAAAATCATTCATGTTTCGGAATACTTTGGAATTGGCGAAATGTAGGAAATTTCGAAAATTAGGTTAGTTTATAATCTCTTGTTCTAAATTCGGATATAATGAAAATTTTCACAATATATTTCAAAAATTTGCAGTAAAAAATGCAAAAAAAATTCAGAAGAGGGTTCGAAGAAATGCAATATATAAAACCAAATGTAGGAACAACAAATTCATACAAAGATTTTTTATGCAACAAAGAATTTCTGATACCAATTATTTTTTGCTAATGTTTTAATTTACTTGATCCGTTAGTATTTATACTTTTCATATAAAATATAATATAAATTATATTATGGAATTACAAATATATCATAAAATTATATTATATATTTCGAAAAACAATCGAAATATTTAGAACTAAAACCGGATCAAAAATCGGAATTTTCAGTAATTTTATATACAATAACGATTCCATTCCAAATAAATTTGGAAAAATCGGATATCAGAACTTAAAAAATTGGAATAAAAATTACTGTTTCAAATTCAGATGTTTTCATATCGGAATTGGCGGAATTACGAACTTTAATTCCGATTTTCCACCCCTACCCACATTGGATGAATAACATCGTCACGTGATAAACACGTTATGGTTGCTTATGCTGTTATGCACTTGTCAAGCATTAAATTAAAGAAAATGGTCTTGCTGTTTTTTTTATTTAATAAAATAAATTAAAATCTAGAAAAATTACATCTACATTAGCTACAATTTTGAAAACTTACACAAATTCTCTTGAAATGTTTATTTTTTATAATAAATTACACTCACGTCCCTCCAAATTAGATTTATTTAAATTTCAACCCTTTAATTCGAAAAAAATTATTAGTCAAACCTCACTTCAAGTTTATTTTCAGCCTTGTGAGAAATTGTTATACAAGAATAAATATGACCATAAGCATATACTAAGGAATCAACAAAAAATCTTTTCCATTTTGATTTAATACAAAATCAAGAACTAATTAACTAATTAATATTAATTAAAGAAGCTCCAAAAACAAGCTTGCTTTTGGATGAAGTCCACACTCTTTGAGACTCGTTCCCATTCGATCTTCACCGTAAACTTTTCTCGGAAAATTCGATATTAGCCTGTAATTTCCGACTCCGATAAGCCCTAACGAATCAACGTACACGTAAATCGCTCGGATCTTGTCCGTGCACAAGAAGCTACATTCCCTTCTCTCCCCGTTCGGAAATCGAATCAAAATCTAGCAAAATCAAATCAAGATTACATTTTTAGCTGCGAATTTTAAATCATGTTTTTTTTCTTGAGAAATTAGTGTTTATTGCATTTAGTACCCCCTATGTTATATTGAATTGCTAAAGACTCCTCATTTTATTTTATTGGCAAAAACCATTTTTAATGCATTTTATTTATCACACAACCCCTAAAATTGTGGGTTTAGGGGGGTATTTGCTAACAAATATTGAATCATAGGGTTTTTTTAACATTTAGAAAAAAACAAAGGGTCCGAATGCAATAAATTTAAAATGAAAAGAATATATATATAGGAAAATAATTTATTGTAACCTGAGTTGCTTCAGCTGCTTTCTGAGAAGTTTGTGCACTAATGTTTGCTGGCTTAGCTTTGTTAGCTTTAGCTTCTGCATTAATTGGCTTCTTCTTGAGTGTTTCTTTCTCCTAAAATAACACAAATATTAAATTTGTTTTAAACCGAGATCGAAACCGAAACCCGAAACACGAAAACTCCTATTTATTTAACGAACCTGGTCTACATGGAGAGATGTTACATAAGCAACATCTTGTTCGTCCCTCAACCGTTGATTATCAACGCTTGTCGTTTCATCGTGTTTAGCCACGTCATCACTCCCAAATGCTACTCCTTGTTCTTCTATTGTTCTTTGCAGAATTTCGACTAATTCGGCAGGAGAAACCGGGCCTTCTATCTACAAACAAAGGAAGGCAAAATCTAGTAACGCCTCGTTTGGTAGGTTACATAAATTACGATTTCGTCGAATAATTGGCTTCATTTGGTGTTTGGTTACTTCAATAACTTTTCGGGCCGACTTAATATGTTCTTATTTTGTTTTATTGATGAATCGTGTATTGGATCCTCAAAAATTGGACTATATAATTGGATTCGGGAAATTTAATGTTCTCATCCCTCAAGTTTGCAATGATTTCACATTTAGTTCCTTATATTTATAAAAAAAAAAACACATTTGATCCCTTATGTTTCAATATTTTGACAATTTTGGTCATTTTTGTCAATTTACCCTTAGTCTGTCAGTTACGGTAGTGATGGGCACATGTTTACAGAAAATTGACGGAAATGACTAAAATGTTAATTTTTTTAAACATGACGGATGAAATGTGTCTTTTGTGAACATGATAGACTAAATGTAAAATCGGTTAAAACTTATATTTTTCCTAATTGGATTCTAAGGCCTCATTTGGTAGTCAGAATAAGATTGGGAAAATTACATTTTTCATCCTTAAACTTTGCACCGATTCCACATTTGGTCTCCATGTTTACAAATAACACATTTGGTCTCCATGTTCACAAATAACACATTTGGTCCCTCGTGTTCCATTAATTCAACAATTTTGGTCATTTTCGTCAATTTAACTTTAGTCCGTTAGTTAAGGGGAGATTCCGTTAGTTTTGACGGAGATTGACGGAAAGGACTAAAAGTGTTGAATTTTTGAAACATAAGGGACCAAATGTGTGTTTTGTGAACATGGGGGACCAAATATGGAATCGATGCAAACTTGAGGGATGAAAACTGTATTTTTCCAAGACAATATTATATTAATATCGGACTAATGGACCAAAATAAAATAACAGAACTACTAAGAAAATGTACTAACCTGTTGAATCACAGCTATACTATCACCACTAGCTGGAGCAACAACAGCACAAAAAGGGAATGTACAAGCCCCTAATGCAGCCGCCATCTCCGAACCCTCTCCGCCACCCGAAAGCCCACCCCAGCTAACGAAATTCGCATCGAGAAAATGTACAACCACCTCCGAACAAAGCGTCCCTCGACAAAAACCCGAAGTGAACGGATGTTCCGGCGAATGTACGTACATGAACACGAACTTACGCTCGTCTCTAGCCATCTTCATTACGTCCTTAAACCGACACGCGTAGAAAAATGGGTGCATTGTACCGTAGTCCCGCTCGAAACTAGTCGAAAACGACGACCATTCTTCTCGAGGGTGGAAATTCGAATTATTATTATTATTATTAGGATGGTTTTGAAAGGGAAAGTTTAATGGTGGTTGATTATGAATGTGATGGTTGTGGTGGTTTGTTCTTCCTCCGAACCGAATTAGGTCGACTCCTTGGTTCATCATTCTCGAACATCCTTCTAGAATGTTCCGAGGGAGGCTCGTGATTCTTCGGACGATTCTCTTGCACGATTCTTCTCCGGAATATCTTCTTGAATATGACATTTTTTTTTCTTGAAAAATTAGTGAAAGTGAAATTTCTTATTAGTGGTTTCATGTGAAATGAAACATATATGTTGGAAGAGGTTTATAATTTGAATTTTCAAACATATGTAATTACTAATTAATAATGTCATAATCAACTTTATTTTTCACTTTGTCTTTTTACTTTTTTCTTTTAATTTAATTTCTCTTGTATCGAGTTCTAAAGAAGATGCCTTAATTCCTTTATTGTCAGCTGAATTTCTGGGGTTAAGACAATCAAAAGGGAAACAAGGCAAGACAAGAAAATTAAGAAATAACACTACATTTCAAGAATATATATATATATATATATATATATATATATATATATATATATATATATATATATATATATATATATATATATATATATATATAAAAAAATAGATATATATATATATATATGTGTGTATATATATACATTTTATATAGATATATAGAGAGAGATATTGCGAGATAGAGAGAGAGAGAGAGATATATATATATAGAGAGGGTGGGAAGATATAATTTTTGGAGAGAAAAGTATAGATAAAGAGAGAAAGAGAGACCAAGGTGTCATTACAAGAAGCATTACCAAAACACTTAAAGAA